GGGAAATTTTTAGCGGGATTTTAAAAACAATTTTAAATTACAAAGGCCAAATTTAAATATTTCATTTTAATTATGTTTTTTAACGATAGTATTGGGGTATTTTTTGTATTTGTTTTTATCAGGCTGTCAGCCGCCCTGAGTCCGCAAGGAGAAGGGCGGGGTAAAAATTCAATTAAATAAATAAATAAATAAATAAATAGATCGGTTATTCTACTAAAATAACTAAATTTTATATAACCTGGATCTGTAAAGAGAAAACATGACCCAAAAGTGATTTACGGAGTTGCCCACACATACAACTTGCACACCCACTTGGATTTTTCCCTTTGAATCCAGATCATTGCACAGCCATAGTCAATGGCTTTTGTATGCTGCTCAGATTGGCCTGTTTTATTAATTATACTGAGTGCAAAAATGATTTATTTTTATACTTTTGAGTTACAGTCATGTGAAAAAGTGAGTATATCCCATGAAAAGGTTTTTTAAAAAATGTATGTAGATAACTGAATTTTATCTTAATTTACACAGTATATAAAGAAAAGTCAGGTAATTGAAACAAAAAAAAACTATGAAAAGTTGAGTTTGCAATCATTTATTCAATAAAAATACATGTCTTTCTATTCAAAAAAAGTATATCCTTGGCAGGAAAGAACCCTCAAGTGAGCATTGCTTAGAATTATCTGCAAGTCTCTGAAAAAAATTCTGGGAGGAACTTCTTCCCACTTATCTATGCAGATTTTGTGTCTCTTCACTGTTGTCCCTTCACTAGCCTGCACTTGTCTTCTTCAATGGTGAAGGGACACAGGACAGAAAACATCCTGCAGCCAAGAAGGCTCCACATACATTTGCACTACTCAGGTGACCTTGAGGACACAGATAAATCTCCAGATGACGAGCTGTCTGCAAGGAACATAAATCCTTCCTTTCTCCACCGTCCAGTCGGAGCTGAAGAGGATTCATGGATGAGAAGTGAAATGTCTTCAAAGAAAAACAAGAAAGTCCAGTTGCCTCCTGAAAAAGTACCCTTGGGGCAACCATGACTTGGATGACTGAGAATCTCCATAGATACTACAGTTTATAATTCTTTTTATTTTAAGTTTACTGCAAAGCATGCTGTGCTCTTTAGCCATCAAATGGGAATGTGGAAGTGAGGCAGAAAGGATAATAGCATTAAGACAGTTTAATTGATGCAAGAGAAGAGTAATTTTCTGAGATAGCACCCATTTAATAAATAACAAAGTGAAAAAAGAAGCAGGAATTGATTTGTGTTTCATTGAAGCCCAAGAATTAGCTCTGTGGTTTTCCAAACTAGAACATTCCATTATTTCCATCCATAGAGGAGCTGCTTAAGAAAACTATCAATACATTTTTGTACTGAGATTGCTGCTGTATTACTCTAAAGAAAAGAAAAGAAAAAAACTAAAGACCAGAAAAGAAATATGTTTACTTAATAGTTTTACAGTGAAAATGACATTTAAAAATTTTAAATTTTAAATACTGGTTAAGTATGACCATTTAAATTTGAGCATTTTCCCTTCTCAATTACAGTTCAGTGTTATTTATAAAATTAGAAAAAATTGCCAGGAAATTGACCTATTTATTTGTTCCTTTATGAAGAACTGAATATATATATATCTTTGCCAGTGATTCTCAAACATTTTGGCCTCAGGACCCTTTTACATTCTTAAAAATGATTGAGGAACCCAAAGAGTTTTGATATACGCGAGTTATATCTTTCAATATGTACTATGTTAGAAATGAAAACAGAAATATTAAAATATTTCTTTATTTGACTTTGCAGACTCCTTGAAAATATTTTGGCTTTGTGCCTAAAATAGGACTAGAATTTATGGTATCACAGTTTGGCATGCAATGATGCATTAAGCACTACATTTAGTTGACTTTATCATCTGTACAATAAAATGACCAAAACAGGCAGCCTTTCTAAATAGGCAGGGGTAATTTGGGAAAATTTAAGCTGCCAGAATTTTTGCTTTTTCTGAAGTTAGTAAAGGTACAATAATTTTGCCAGGGTAAGTAATGTCACATTGTTGGAATACTAAAACTTTAATAACCTAGATTAAACATTAATGTTTAAACATTAGGTTTTAAAAATAAAAAGCAAAAAAGCTAGAAGTTATAACATCAATGCATTCCGCAGAAGTCTAGCTGAAAGAAAAGAAGGTATTCATGAAGAGTTTCAGATAAGGGTGTTTTTCCCTGCCTTACTCCTTTCTGGTAGATTTTGCTTGCTTCCCTAAGCTACTGTTAGTCCCATTGCTGAGGAGGAAAGAAAACAAGTATCTTCATTTTGACTCTCAGGAAATATGTCTAGAGACCAGGCCATCTTTTATTGGCCAAAACCATGAGTTTTGAAGAAAGTAGAACATGTGTCAAATATGTAATAGCCAGATGGCCCTCATCCTATATCTATTTAGAATTCTAGTTTTTCATACAATCTATATGCTATTGTAATCTACATTTAAATAAAACATATAAAGACCAACTCCTTCACAAGTATGTTATGGGTTGGCATTTGTATTGCTTAGTAGTGGTACTGGATTGATGAGTTTGAGGGTCAAGGCAGGCAGGAATCTGTAGTTTCTCTTAATGTTTCATGAAATATATTTGCAAAATCAACAAAGTTGAAAACAAGAAGGATTAATTATAGGAGTGATATTCAGGTCAGCTCATACTTTTAGGAAAATATGTAATGTTAAAAAGCAATGTCTGGTGACCTCCCCTACAGATTCACTTTTCCTCCTGCTGGAAATTAGTAAGATACTTGCTGGTTTATATATTAACACTAGCTATATAGTGGCATTCCCATGCTGAATTTGTCACATCCCTTACTATATAATTGGTACAAATTATTGAACAGAATTTCTGTAGCTACTCAGCTACAGCATTAAAACAACTGAGAGTATTTGTTTTGTTTTAGTCCCAACTACAATGGTAGCTCAGCACTCATCGTTAATTGATTCCGGGAGACACTATTGAGTATCAAAAACGATGAGTACTAAACAATTTTTTCCCATAGAGAATAATGTAGTGAGTCACAAGGCAGCTGACACCAACAAGTTCTACTTTGTGTATTGAGTACCAAACAAACAAAGTACCAGGACAAAA